AGCGTCACAGATTGTTCTTTTAGACTTCCTGCGGGACGTTTGATATTTTTTCCAGTTATCCAAATATCTTTTTCTAAGAAAAGTATTTTTTGATTTTTATCTTTAATATACTTGAGTTAAATATTTACTTTTCTTTTCTCTTTGTTTGGCTAGTTTATACATATACTTTTCACCCTCCTTAGTATCTATTCTATTATAAAGATTATTAAAAACAAAATTTTTAGCGTCACAGATTGTTCTTTTAGACTTCCTGCGGGACGTTTGATATTTTTTCCAGTTATCCATGCTTTTACATTTAAACCAATTTTTATAACATAACTTTTTATATTTTATCTTTCTTGCACATTATTATTTCACCACCAACTATTTTTATTTATAAATTTTTTTTTCTTTTGATTCTCCAAGCACATCTTTTGCTACTTATTTAATAGTGTGTTACTTTATCTCACATAACATTTGCTTCCTCATGAATATCCTAAATTTTAAAATCTTGAATTTTACTCATAAAAATAATTTTATTTGTGTTTTTATTTGTGTGTTTTTTAAGTTTCTCCATCTAATTCTACGATGATGAGTCCTAGTATTATTTATTTTACAACTCTTAATTTTAAAATCTAAAACTAATAAACAATTTTGGGTACTTAAATTCTCACTTGGAATGACCTTATAATCTTTACAATCACGACGATCTCTTCTTCTCAAAATCTAAAATAGCTCTACTTTCTTCATTAGTTACTCTAAAATCGTAGTGTGTTACTTTATCCCACATAACATTTACATCCTCATGAATATCCCAAATTTTAAAATCTTGAATTTTACTCATAAAAATAATTTTATTTGTGTTTTTTAAGTTTCTCCATCTAATTCTACGATGATGAGTCCTAGTATTATTTATTTTACAACTCTTAATTTTAAAATCTAAAACTAATAAACAATTTTGGGTACTTAAATTCTCACTTGGAATGACCTTATAATCTTTACAATCACGACGATCTCTTCTTCTCAAAATCTAAAATAACTCTACCTTCTTCATTAGTTACTCTAAAACAGTAGTCACCATGATTATTTCTGAAGTTTTCTATCATTCTACCAACATGTCTATTTAAATCTCCTCCAATAAAATTTTTTTTTTCCAGAGGTATCATTTGTATTAATTCTTCTAAGTCATTCCGAAATTTATCTTTAGACCCTGTATCTAAGCCTACTTGAGGAGCATAAGCACTTATAATACTAAAAATCTTACTACCAATGATAATCTTAAGGACTATAATTCTATCTCCAACTCTATTAATATTTACAACATGATCTTTCAAACTCTTATATATAATTGCACCTACACCATTTCTAGTGCGACTCTTACCAGAATACCAAAGTTTAAAACCTAAATTATCAATCTCCATAGCCTTTTCTCCAACCCACTTAGTTTCTTGAATACATAAGATATTAATTTTCCTATGAATCATAATATCAACTAATTTCATTAATTTATCATTGAGAGTACATATATTTCAAGATTCTATCCTAATATTAGTTTCATTAGTTTCATGGACTAACTTCTTTACCCGCATTCGCACGTAATGTGGGATTCATGTCATGATTTTTTTCGGCAAGTTTTACGCTGGCTGTCGACTACCTAACGCAAACCTCCACTTTTCGCATCAGGGCATGGGACCAACAACGGTAGTGTTTATACAAACTAAATGAAATTCAGGACACAATAGAAAATCCGACACACATATCAATCACCAAAAGGTTATTTGGATCACTTTAATTTTTTGTTGTTTTTTTTTAAATCTTGGTTTTAGTTTGTATAGTATACAAACTAAAAACTTAAAGTGATCCAAATAACCTTTTGGTGATTGGTATGTGTGCCAGATTTTCTATTGTGTCCTGAATTTCATTTAGTGTAGAAAATTTACATTGATTCTCAAATTTCTTATGAAATTAACATTTAAAGACTTTCTATTATTGTTTGGAATGAATGAAGCATAAATTTTTGTTTAGCATACAAAGATAAAAAATCATTACTAAAATTAAAAGTTGAGAATCTATGAATAGTTCATTTGTATGTACTTTCAGACATCTCATCCAATGCTTGTTTTAGTGAACCATAGATCGTTAAAAGTTCTGCATTAAAAAGTAGTATAAAAATATATTATATCACCATAAAGGTTTGTTAGCGTGGCTAAAAATTGTTTAAAATAGTTTTTCTTAAAAGTATTGTTTTAAGTGCGATTTTAGAATCATTTTTAGACCTTTTTTTTTCCTTTTGCACGTGTAACAATTAGGTTCATCTATAAACATTGAAATATACCAAGAATACATCATAGATGTTGAAGGTGAAAAATGATCGCTCTTTTATAAGAGTTATGCTTCGCCTATAAATTAAATAAAATGACCTCCTATATTTAATTGTTCACAGTCAATAATAACAAATCAACATTTAACTTTTAATTAGCCCATTAACAAGTACTAGTCAACGTTCAAATCTAATAACCTAAAATCTCTATTCATCAGGGCAATCACCCAATGGCATACCAATAGCACTATTATAAAAGCGACGTGTAGTTCTTCCAATATAAATTCCTAGCATTTCATTATATTTAATTTGGATTAATTATTTCAATCAAGCGTACAATATTCAATTATTATTATATTATTAATTGATTATATTATATTATTATTGATATGTCGCAAAAAAGTCATCCAATAAAACGTGACTACTGATGTGATTTTTTAATGAAGAAATTTTAGAATGAAATTCAGGCCATTTTGACCTCTAATTTCATTAAATTTATAGTCAAACTAAATGTCTTCACAAAAAGAACCTAACACCAAAAAAAGGTTTGATCAAAGTCCAAATAAGCTACAATCAAGCAGGTACAGTAAAATTGAAAATTTTACTATACTAATTAAAAAGTCAAATAATTTCTCAAACTTACATGCTTATAATCTCATTGAGATTCTAGAGAATACGAATCTGACAACTCTAAATCAATCAAATTAGAGAATATTACGATACTTAAATGTCAAATCAAGCTTAACATCTTCAGCTCCTACATGAATATACTCAACAAACAATACAATCACATCACCTACCACGAAATCAATAATAGGCTAAAACTAGTCAATTTAAAGGTACTCATGTGGGGGCCTCCTTCAGAGTTCCTTTCCCGCAACCTCATTAGGATATCTTGGAGATGATTGCTAGTTCAACACAATTTTCTTGAGCTATTTAACTGAACCATAATGTCGAATAACCTTAGTGAACTTCGCTCAACCTAGTTACATTTATGTTGCTCTTAATATCATACGAGAAAAAATTTAATGTCATGTTAATGAGAAATTTCCTTTAAGAGATAAGAATCATCTTACATACCATAGTAGCTTTCAAGAATCCGTCTATAAAGATTATATTCTTTAATATTTTATTCAAATAGAATTCAAGTTGCCTGTAATAAAATTGTACAATGAGACATTTGATCTTTATAAATACATCAATCATTACAAGAATATCATGCATATTCAACAATCCTTGGAAGTGTTCGTTTTCCAGGTTTTCCTAACCCACATTTGAGGGTTGAGCGTAAGTTTAATTATGTTCTTTTCGGTAAGACTATCCATACATTTGCCGACCATATCAAATTTTTAGTTTAATAGTTTATTACTAATTGAAAGCTCATCAAGGACCCTTTGAATGTTTCTAAAATTTATCAAAACAAAGAAGTAACCCTTAAAGAGTATTTTAAATTATCTTCAAATGCACGTCAAATTCTGGGAGTAAATCCCAATTTATTATGAGATATTTTTTTAAAGATATTCATCCTAGACCTTTTTAATCTTTACTGATGCGAACAATAGTATTATCACTTTCATTAGTTAAGAGGATAATCAATGGAAACATTTAGTCATTTAAAGGAAAAGATTGATGTTTAATACATCAAGGACACCTAAGTTGTGAATTATAAGAGAAATTTATAGATTAACCACAAAATAAAAATATTATCAAATTCATGGTAAGAAAAAAATTGAATCATCACAAGAAAATTATCAAGGTTATTAGTGGTATTATAGGATTATCATCATAATCTGTCGATCATCATACAAAGAAAAATGTGCACACACAAAATTGAATAATTTTTTATGATTCAAATTTTGAAGGAATGTATTAATTCTCTAATAATCTTTAGTATAATTAAAATAACAATTATCAACACTAAAAAAGTTTTTTGTTGATATAGTTAACTTAGTAGATATTATATTCTTTAATAACTTCATGTACCTTAGATTAAACCCAACAAAGCTCCAACTTTGTCATCGTGTCATTTGTACTTTTGAAGAGCATAATATAAAAGTTCTTTGCATGATCATTCTTCCAATCTCCCTAGGGATGACAATTAATTGTTTTGATTCAGTTTATCACGATAGACAAAAATTCAATTTATAATGGATGTTGCATATCTCTTACAAGCTTCCTATACTTAGAATTGTTAAAACAAGTAATACTTTAGCACTAACTTATTTTTAATTGTATAGGGATGCAAAGGATTAAACGAAGAATATTTTCTTAATTTTATGAGTTGATGTTCTGAATTTTGTATTGTGCTTTGTGAGCTCCATCGTTTCTACTGGCATCAACAGATTAGTTGAATATGCTTTGGGCTGAGATCCATGTTTCAAATGTTGCACTCTCAAATGTTAGGGAAGGTGTTAGCTGCAGGGCAGATGATATGAAAATGAAAGAACATATCATTGTTTGCTTGATGCTAACATTGTTCTTATATGCCAAGATTGGATTGCAATAAATGTATTCTTATGTTGTGGAAAAACTCTATATGCACATGGATGAGGTCAAATAGTTTAATTATTGTTAAATATTTGTTGGGCTTTAATAGCTCCATGAGGATATTATAAAAAAAAAAAAGCAAACTGAACTCAATTCTCCAATACATTTATTGCATATCATTTGATTTATCCCTTTTACTTAATTTATGCCTAAACATGAAAAAAAAACATTCATTTCATACAATATAATTTTTTATTTATATTCATTTGGTCATTCATATGTTATGAGGAATTATCTCACCATAAAAATCTATTTTTAAATTATTTATTTAGGTCATCTTTTAATTTATAATTTTAAGTTTAAGTTCTTTTAATAAATATTTGTATTCATATACTACACAACAAACTTGATTTTTATGATACTCAATCATACTTTGATTGCTCTTACTAGACTTTAATATGATACAGGCAACATTCTTAATAACTTTATTTTAATGAAAGTCCAGATATTTGGTGGTCTATTAAATTAAATTAAAATAACTTTCATATGTTAAGTAGGTTAAACATCACTTGATTTTAACTCTTAAATGAATTTTTTTTTCCTATAATACTAATTATCTAATCTTTCTCATATTTCTCTACTAAAAATAGCAAAAATCATTAATATAAATATTTTATCTACCAACTAGACACTTCATTATTTTAATTAAAAATAAAATATATTGAAAAAACTGTAAAACACAGTATTGAAATAATTAAATCATATCCATTTATTTACGATTTTCATATCTTGTTATTCACTTTTAATCCATTTTTAAATTATTCATTTAGGTTGGCCTTTCAATCCACAATGTGAATAAATATTTTAAGAAAACATAATTTGATTTATATACCTCACAATAAACCTGATGCTTACAATATTCGATCACAATCATCTTGTTTTATTAATTATTCATATAATGTACAAGCCATTCTTATTTAATTTATTTTCAATAGTTCATGATCAGCTAAATCCAATTAAAATGACTTTCATATGTTAGATCGATCTAACATCTTTTTATTTAATGCTTGAATGAATTTGTCTATAATTTCAATTAAGAATCCAATCCACTCTCATAATTCTCCTCTAAAAATAATCATAAATTAGTGATATTACTATTTTATCTCCCTACTAGTTATATGTCAATATTTTCTTAAAATAAAAAAATAAATAATAACTTACTACCAAAATATTAAAATCATAATCATTAATTTACAATTTTTATTATGTATTGATTCATTTTTAAAATTCTAGCAATTTGCTCTTTGTGTACTTGAAATTCAACTAGTGCGGCTAAGGCGCAATAACCAAATCATTATTTTCCCAAACACACAATGATCTTGTGCCACATGAGACAAAGAATCAAGAATTCAATGATACCTTAACAGTGCCATCAGATGCGGTGACAGCATGATGAATAGGTGATCTTCCAACCCTCCACCCAGCTTCGCGCAGCTCTTCCCTAAACACCTGAGGCACTGTCATTAATAAAAGATAAAAACAAGCTCATCAATTTCTAAAACAAGTTTTCCATCAACAATCTGCTGAATGAGTCGTAGGTTAAAAATGAAAAAAGGGAAAGATGAATTGAATGCTTAGTTATACTCACGGTGACTAAAGTCATGGATTTCTTTAGCCCTGGTCTTGTACAGGAGATCATGGAGCTGCTTGCCTCTGTAGCTTTTCTAAAACATTTTTTTTGCCAAACCAACAAAACGGGTAAACAAATGAGGTCCTTTTTAACAAAAGAACAGCGGAAGAGGCAATGAAGAGATTGTTCACCTGGCCATAATCGATGGCGAGCTGACGGAGCTCCGTTTCCGACATGCCAATGAGGAAGCGAGAGTCGGCCTTACGAAGCCTCGGCGCCAGAAACGGCGGCGAGGGATGGCCGCCGCAGCCTTGGAAATATGTTGCCGCCATGAGCGTGCGAGTGGAGCCGAGCAAGCTTGTTGCAGCAACGCCATGGATTGGGGGCTCGCTAACCCTACCTAGCGTTTCTCGTCTTCCTTCCACGGCGCCAGCGCAGTGTAGTTCTGAGTTCGAATGTGATCTTTTGAGGAGAATATTTAACTAAAATGTCTTTGGCCATTTATTTAGTAATTTTGTGAATTATTTTTGTAAGAAAGATTTGCATAACATTCTTATATATTTATGTATCTAACTCCTTCCAAACTTCAATTTTTACATATAACCCACCTTATGTATGAAAAAATATATTTCACTTGTGAAATTTTAAATATTGATAATTTTTATGTGATATGAAAATTTTAGATGATATAATGATAAAAAAAATAAGTTTAGATGTTAGATATTTAAATATACAAGAATTAAATGATATGTATAGAAAAGACCCATTCAGAGCCTAGATGTGCCTAAAGAGGGAGGAACGAACATCACTTACGGTGTATTTGGGGCAGCTTGTGTGTTTCAGGATAAACTGCTTTTCCTGATATGCGGCCCGCGGGCAGGCCGCAGGGTTTAGCACGCAGTCTGCGTTTAGTGTAAAAACTCAAACGCGATTTCGGGTAAGCTGACGAAACGCGCGAACCACACAGTACGACGTCATTTATAAGCTGCCCCAAATAGTAGTGTGGCTTTTCCCGACCTGAGTCCACCAAAAGACAAGACTTAAAAAGAACGAATAGACTAAAATGTGAAATGGTCGTAGCAGATAGGCCTGAATGAATAGCAATCGAGTCCAAATAGACCAGCACGAGTAATTGGGTGTCACAAATGGAACGAACACATTCGAATGGGAAAAAACTGAATGCCAAAAGATACTCGATGAAAGGCCATCTCACTGAGTAGCATATATCACAACTCTAGCGATTCACGTTATTATAGCCTACTAATTGCAAATCCAATACCAGCAACACGAATCCTGAAGGAGATGAGCTTGGCTAGACCTCATACGTGACTTGATAAAAGTCAAACATGAAATCGACGCTATACAGAATATAGAATATACCCCTAATTTTTTATCTTTGTTTATGAAAATATATTTATTGTGCAAGTTATAACATTTGTAAAGAAAATAAATTATGCCTAAAAATTTTGATGTACAAATTGTAAGAAAAAGTTAAGGCGAGAGAAAAATCTAATAATCATATATAAAAATGCATAACCCCTAATCCTTTTAAATAAAAAATATTTAGTTTTTGTACAATTTGGATAATCATTCGCCCAAGCATTAAGAATACCAAGTATCCAAATGATCAAAATAGTAAGCAAACAATATATATATATATATAT